CAACCAGATTGAGATTGACTGTTTTCAAAGGGGATCCCAAATGTTAGTATTGCTTTGGTAGGAAAATTTGGGCACCAACATTATATTATCCCTACTGTAATAATTTCTAAAATTGATCTAATGAGACAGTTATATAAAGCAGATAGATAGTCTGACCAGTGCCTGGGCAGAGAAGAGATCAATCCTTTTGGTCTCTAGGCATTGCTCATTTTGGCCAGGAGAACCCTTCTAACCCATAGCAGTGCTTTGTCATCCCTGGTCGAGGGTTAACAGAAGAATAATTTGATATCAAAATTAGTTTGCGGGCTCGGCACCTGTGGCTCAAGTGGCTAAGGCACCAGCCACATACACTTGAGCTTGCGGGTTCAAATCCAGCCCGGGCCTGCCAAACAACGACAGCTACAACCAAAAAATAGCTGGGCGTTGTGACGGGCTCCTGTATTCCCAGCTACTTGGGAGGCAGAGGCAGGAGAATTGCTTGAGCCCAGGAGTTGGAGGTTGCTGTGAGCTGTAATGCCCTGACACTCTACCCAGGACAACAGCTTGAGGCTCTGTCTCAAAAAAAAAAAATTTGCAATTGGGTTCATCTCCAAGTGTGACCCAGGATAATCCTGCAAGCCCTCAAGTCTATAGAGTTTGTAGGCTGAAAAAGTCCAGCTGAGTCTATTCCTCACCTTTAGGATCTGGTCTAATCTAATCAGCCTTTTTATGAGCTTTGGGCCTTAATGTCTTTAGTGCTTTGTCAGATCACTTGTACTCATCATTATTGTTCCAATATTGCAAAGTCTGTACATTCATTTATTTCATATCGTAACAGAAGTAAAACATAGTACTATGCAATATGTTGTGTAGATATAAATTTTACTAAGGAATAATTATTGCATATGAAGGTATGATTTTCATGACAAACAGATTACATAAACTAAAGGAGTGATATTGTTCTATTCTTTTGCCCCTGGCTATGTAGCTCATGAGATACTGTGGGCCACTGGAAAGTAGGCTGTCAGTTGTCATAAAAAATGAGGCACAAACCCAGAGGCAGCACCTTCAACTGTTGTTTGAAGACTGCCAGCTTTTAGTGGTTGATTTTAAATATGAAATTTTAAAATGTCTTTCATTCCTTATGTAATTTAACTTTGTACAAACATGGTTTGACCTGGCTTGTTAATTGTTGTGGTTGTTGAATGTATTTTCCTTAATCTTAAGACTCACTCAATTTCAAAAATTGGATCATAATATTGATATATTTCTCATTTTGATTCAGTGAGTGATGTCCAGTGCCACGGATGAGCTTCTGAAAGCATGGGCACCAAGTTACCTATTGATGTGTTGGTAATTTGGTTAAAGTCAGATCAGCACCTTGGGGTCTTGTTTAATAATTAGTACTTTTAAAAATAATACAATTATTTATGGCCAAGTACCCATTGAATTCAATTCAGTCTTCAATAACAATATCTATTTTGGTATTATAACAGTGGTTCTCAATCTTCCTAATGCCGTGGCCCTTTCATACAGTTCCTGGGGGTCTCGACCCACAGGTTGAGAACTGCTGGTATAAGGATGTTAATGATTAAAAAGCCTACTGTTGCTACAGATTTTGAAATGATTTCAAGTGTAAGAAAATGAAGTATTATTTAACCTACTTTTTGGATCTAATAATAATAAGCTTTATTTTCTAAACTTGGAAGAGTTTTCAAATAGAAAAATTCTTTTTTGAACACCTATTTATAATCTTACAATAACTATATGTACCTAAAACACCAAAATTCCAGTTTTGCTGTGCTTGTATTTTTATTTTAAAAATTCTGCTCATTTACTATTAAAATGTGAGAAAAAATATTCTGTTTTGATAATTTTTCAATGATTAGCAAAGCTAATGTTTAAAATAATTGAACTGGAACATTTTAACCTAATAAGAGTGTATTTTTCTTAAGCTAGTGGAACTATTTCTTAAAATCTGAACAAAAAGTAAAAGTGATACATGTCTATTAATATGAAATTTGTGACTAAAGATTTTGATTCATTACAGGATTTTATGTTACTGTCAAAAAATAAAGTTGAACCTTTTAAAAAATACTGAGTATTATTTTGTAAGCTTCTGAAATTTGATTAGCTGTAGTCCCTGAAACTAAATTATATCCAGTGGGATTACCTTATTAAATGGCCTTTTAAATTATTGCTATAATCATTTTGAATCATATCAACAAATCGTGATTTTTAAAGAATAATTTCTATATTGTTTCTTCAGACCTTATTTAATCCAAATAAGACTGTGGTGAAGATGTTTGTTGTGATATATGACTTACGAGATATGCCAGCCAATCACCAGACATTCCTACGACAGAGAACTTTTTCTGTACCTGTTAAACAAGAAATGAAGAGAAGTGTTAATAAAGAGAACATCCGACATACAGAAGAACGGTTATTACGCTACCTCATACATCTGAGGTAACGTTTCAAATGAGTATGAAAAAATGTTGCTTTTTTTATGTCTAAACAATTGTCAATGTATCTAGGGCAGTGAGACACATTTTCCAAACAATTGCTGTTCAGTAAAAATATAATATGAGCCATATACAGTTCTATATGTTTCAGTAGCCATACTAAAAAAGTAATAAGCAGTTAAGATTAATATCTATTTAACCCAGCCTATCCAAATGTTATCATTTTGAACATGTAATCCGTATAAAAATTATCAATGAGATAGTCTTGTTTATACTGAATCTTTGAAATCAAGTATGTATTTTACATTTAGATAGCACAACTTTATTAGAACTAACCACATTTTAAGCACTTAATAGTCACATGTGGCTAGCAGCTACTATATTAGAAGAGAAAGTTCATAAATTTTATTTGTTCAACCAATATTTATGTGCCAGTCATGCTTCTATACACTAGGAAACAAGAGTGACAAAATTTCTTTTCTCATGGACCTTATATTCTAGTGCTTCCAGCAGAAATACCTTTTCTTCTAACTTTTAATCCCAGCTTATAATTCTAGGTTGGGAGAAGCATTTGTTTGCCTTTATGGTCCAAGTTGCTAGCATCCCAGGGTAAGATTTTGAACCCCAGCAGTCCTAGTTTAGCTCTCTGGATCAATGAGCAAATTAATTGGTTAATAGAAGGCTCAGTAGCCTTTTGCCTATAACTCTCTTTGTAATCATTTTCTGATCCCTTACATTAAAAAGTCCTCAATGCCATCAGTGATATTCATCTTTGACTAACTGGTATAGTAAGGAGTGCTCTTCATTCTTTAGGTGTCCTCTTTCATCCAGAGTCAAGCAGAGAACTTTGTTAAACTGTTATTGATGGAGACACCAGCTATCTTTCAGCCTTTTTTTTTCCCTTGAGACAGAGTGTCTTTATGTCACCCTCAGTAGAGTGCAATGGCATTACAGCTGACAGCCACTTCAAATTCTTGGGCTTAAGCAATTAATTCTCTTGCCTCAGCCTCCCAAGGAGCCGGGACTACAGGCCCCTGCCACAACGTCCAGCTATTTTTTTTGCTGTAGTTGTCATTGCTGTTTAGCTGGCCCGGGCTGGGTTTGAATCTGCCAGCCCTGGTGCATGAGGCCAGCGCCATAGCACTGTGCTACAGGGGCCTATCTTTTAGTCTTATAGTGACAATCTAGTCTGATAAGGAGTGAACTGTATAGTCAAGTCCATGTGTGAAAAAATGTATTAAGTTAATTGTTGCCTCAAAGCATTGTCTTATTGGATCTCTTCATCTTGGTCTCTTGACTGTTCTGCGTCCGAAACATATGTTCAGCCAGCACAGTGTATTTAAACCCAACTTGACACTGCCTGACATGAGCCTTCATGGGAAATTTTACACAGATTGTGGGAATGAAAAATATACTACAGACAGGCTTAGAAAACTTTTAAAAAGAGAAATGATGGCTTGGCGCTTATAGCTTAAGCAGTTAGGGCGCCAGCCACATACATTGGAGCTGGCAGGTTTGAATCCAGCCTGGGCCTGCCAAACAACAATGACAACTACAACCAAAAAATAGCCAGGCATTGTGGCAGGCACCTATAGTCCTAGCTATTTGGGAGGCTGAGGCAAGAGAATCGCTCAAGTCCAAGAGTTGGAGATTGCTGTGAGCTGTGATGCCAGAGTACTCTACCCAGGGTTACAGCTTGAGGCTCTGTCTCAAAAAAAGAGAAATGATATGAAATAGTAGACTATAAGAATACCTCCCAGCCCAACTAAGAAAAATGTTCAACTTTATTTTTTTCACGTATGGACTTGAGTATACATCTCACTCCTTATTCTCTGGTTAAACCTCCATTTGGTACCATTCCTCTAGAAGTTAACAGCCATAGCCATATGTGACCAATGTTGGCCAGAGTAAAAGTAAACTACCTCAGCTTTTATAATCCAGTCCCCACAAAATGACTCGGTAATTTAAATGCTTTAAAGAAAACTATTTGGAGAAAATGGTATATTTAACAAAGAATGTCTTCCTTCAAATTGAGAAGGTGAAGAACTAGAGAGGAAAGGGAAAAGTGAGTCAGTCTGAGTTCTGCTTTAACATTTAGCACTGACTCCCAGACCTTTCAACTAGTTTAGGAGTAAAATCCACCAACCCAGATAGTATTTATGCTACCATGAGGGAAAAACAAAGAGAAATTAGCACTGCTGGGTGTTTGTCAGTGTGCTGGGTAGGTTTATGAGATTAAATACTCCAGCCATCTGCCCTGTGTTGTAGATATTAGCAAGATATAGAAACAGTTTCATATGCAGGGAGGTTTAAAAATTTTTTTTAATTTTATTTATTTTTTATTTTATAGTTAATTTTTTCAGAATATTGGGAGGCATACATTTTGTTTACATACATTTTTGTACAGGTTGAATCAAAGCTATATGTGTAAAGTGTGTTCTTCACCCAATTAGTGTACATTGTACCAAATAGCTATGAATTTACCCATCTTTTCCTTCCCCTCCCCCAAGCTTGATTTTCTTTTTTTCTTTTTTTTTTTTTTTTGTTTGAGACAGAGGCTCAAGCTGTTGCCCTCAGTAGAGTGCTGTGGTATTATAGCTCACAGCAACTTCCATGTGCTATGGAGTCAAGGAAGAAAGGAAAGATTGTATTTGAAACTCACATTGACTGGAAGAAGCATCTCAGGCCTTGTTAGAGGGGAAAGGTAGAGTGTTTGGGGAAAAGTAAGGGAGATGTAGTTAAATTGCCACATGATTTGGCAATTTAAGACCTAAAATATCATGTTAAAGACTAAGTGTTGGGCAGCACCTGTGGCTCAAAGGAGTAGGGCGCCGGCCCCATATGCTAGAGGTGGCGGGTTCAAACCCAGCCCCGGCCAAAAAAATAATAATAATAAAGCCCACTAAACTGACTTCCTTTTAAAAAAAGAAAAAAAGACTAAGTGTTAACCTAATATCATAGCAAGATTAATTGTTCTTGTTTTCTAATTTTAAGTAATCACATTTGTTTTGCTTAAAGACTTAGTCTCTGAGATGATTCATCTTTTTATTTGTTTAGGTTCCAGAGTTCCAAATCTGGAAAGATCTACCTCCACAGAGATGTACGACTCCTGTTCTCTAGAAAGTCCATGGAGGTCGATAGCGGTGCTGCATATGAACTCAAATCTTACACTGAATCACCAACAAACCCTCAGTTTTCACCAAGATGTTGACATTTAGGAGTGACAATTTAAAGTGTTTGCTCAGTCCTCAAGTTTGCAAGTAAAACTTAGCATAGAAGAGAATGTACCAAATTAACAATCAGGAGAGTGGATCTACTCCTGTTATGCTGGACCAGTTTTTATTAAAGGATTCCTGAAATGAGATCCACATATTCCAAGTAGACTGGAAATACTCATGTCCTAATCCTTTTTATACTGTTGAAACCACTTCATTGGACATGTTGCAATAGCAAAACCCCCAGTTAGATTAGTGTTTACATGTTTTATTTCTCAGTTATTTAATATTTAATGTTTTCCTTAATACTCAAGTGATGTTTGTCTGTAGTGTTCTAATGTAGCACAGATCCTATGTAAAATCATACTATGTATTTTTGACATTAATGTTGAAATCTGAAATATATGCACAAGTCTTTAATTTTGTGTGATGTGTTTTAAGTGCTGTTCATTTAAGTTATTGAAAATGAGTATGAAATGTTGAGCTTCTTTAAAATTAATGCACTATGCAAGCATGTATATTTTTTAATATCTCTCAAGATTAGTTTTTACAGTACCCCATCCAGGTTGCTATCTCACATAGTAGTCCTTTAATATGTTGTATTAGCAGTGCAATGTGGACTAAACTGCTTCACATTCCGCTTGCAAGTTCAGATCATCATGCCCATTTGTATTCCTTCTAGGATTCCCTATCCCCAAAACAGTTCTATTTTTCCTTAATCACGACTATAGAGGCTTTACATTAAATTGCTGTCTTATGCTAGTTAACTTTCTCAAATTGTTAAAAGAGTATGTACTTTGAAAACAAATTAGTATTTATATTGTAAATACATGCAAAAAACTAAAAAAAAAGTGTATTTGGCTTTTATTTTTAGATGAGACTTTTATGTGATTGGGGGAGTTAACCATTAGGCCATTTCATTACTCTACAGCTGCCGAGGAGGAGGAAGATATGTTGACCCTGTCCCAATTTGCCACTTCTTTGTTCAGGGTTGCGATGAACACCATGTGGCAAATGGAAACATTACCAAGCAAGAGAGCTTGAGTGAATGCATCAAAAATCATCTGTCTAAAACTCTTGAAAAGAACAGGGTGATTTTATATGTTCACGTTGAGACAACAGGCAATAACAGATTAGATAACAAGGCAAAAATACTCAGACTCCCAGTAGAAATCTGTGACTGCAGGTTATAAAATACCTCTCATGCAGGCTAGCCCTAGGTGACCTACGAGTCTAGATCCACATAAATAGTCTGGTATCAGCAGAGGGTCAAGTCTGGGTTCCAGCTATTGAATAGACTGCTTAAGAGAATTTGGCTAGGTGATAATTGTGTGGCTACAGGCTGTTGAGTGGCAAGCAGAACCCTAAATTTCCTTTAAAATACCAATTACAGGAGGAAAAAGAGGTTATATATGTTCCATAAAAGTAAAACAAAAAAAATTTCTAGTGGTATAAATTAAAAGATTTGGCTCAGTGCCTGTAGCACAGTGGTTAATGGCGCCAGCCACATGCCACGAAGGCTGGCAGATTCAAACCTGGCCTGGCCAGCTAAACAACAATGATAACTGCAACAAAAAAATAGCTGGGCATTGTGTCAGGCCCCTGTAATCCCAGCTACTTGGGAGGCTGAGGCAAGAGAATTGCTTAAGCCCAAGAGTTGGAGGTGGCTGTGATGCCACAGCATTCTACTAAGGGCGACACAGGTTGCTGTGAACTGTGATGTCACAGTACTCTAGGGATGGTGACATTGTGAGACTCTGTCTAAAAAAAAAAAAAATGTATGAAGATTTATTGTCGGCTCGGTGCGTATAGCACAGTGGTTACGGCCCCAGCCACATATACCTAGGGTGGCTGGTTCGAACCTGGCCTGGGCCAGCTAAACAATTGCAACAAAAACAAACAAACAAAAAGATTTATTGTTACTCTTTAGACCCTGTGTAAAACATGGGACAAAGACCCAAGCCTTGGTTGCAATAAGTATTCCAGTACATTTGGCAAAAGTCAGTTTTGAAAATTTTATATAAAACTTGGAAAATAGAAATTTTTTTAATTAGACAGTGTTATTGTTTCTATGACCTATCCAGTAAAGTTTGCCCCAAATTATGTGTATATTATGTGCAAGTATCATTTTGCAAGGATACCATGCTACAGTATTTTCAGAATTCTTTCTAATACTTCTGGAGCATTTTTAAAGGATATTTGAAGAACTTTACTAAAGCATCTGAGTGTATCTTATGCCTCCCTGGCAAGTTTGTGCAGAGAAAGCATGTGCTGACATTTTGTCCCTCTACTTCATAGTCTTTTTTGCCTATGTTTTTTCTTCTGTGAGATATAGTCACTTTGCATCTATCTGCTCTCACTTGCACTGGCATTATCTCTGTCATGCTGGTTCTTTTTCTACCCTTCTTCAGATACAGGCCAAGACTTCACCATATTGTCTATCTCTGTATTCAAAGATTATGACACTAGATTATGTAACAGTTGAGTATTGTCATGCAGGAAGAATACCAGCAGACCACCAACGTTCTTAGCTATCATACATAGTAGAGATCTCACTGCTGGCTTACTTGGCAGGTTTATAGAGTAATAAAATGTGTCATAACTGCTAACTCTCTTTCATAAGTAATTATAGGTCATTACCTACAAAAAGTCTTCGGAATTTTATCTGATGAGAATGCTAAAATCTGTTATGAGAATGAAAAAATAAGTGATGAAGATTTGCTGGAAGGTGCCCAACAGAAGGTTCTTCCCTCTTTCTATTTCCCCCCAACCAGATCTCTGTCATTCCTTGAGGGTTAAAGAAGGGGAAAATTTTTCCTTCAAAGACTTTATCTTTGGAATTTTGACTTTTGCCTAATTAATCTTGTGAATGAAACAGTGTAAACAGTGTCCCCTCCCTCAATTTTGCTATTGCAGCTATCACGTTACAGGGGTGGTTGCTGTTGAAAATTTAGTGTATGGGGTGGTGCCTGTGGCTCAGTAAGTAGGGCGCCAGCCCCATATACCAAGGGTGGCGGGTTTGAACCCAGCCCCAGCCAAACTGCAAATATATATATAGC